TATTCTGGCCTGGGTCAAAGGAACATCCAGAAACGGGGCCACAAGAAAGGTTATTTAAAATCATTGGTTATTATTAGCAGGTGCAAAACGCAAAGGAGCCCAGAGCGGTTGGGAAGAAGATTTACTGCAAATAAAGTACTCGATTATTAAAAAAAAAAAAATCTCTGAAATAAGTATTGTGAAGATTTATAACCATGGAAGTTCCAAATGAAGATGTTCTCTCTAGGAATAGTCTAGAGATGCTTTTCTTGGTACTCTGTCTTGCACTGTTCTGTCCTGTTATGCTGAGAGGCCCTCAAACCCTGCTGCAGCTCTTTCCCACCACACCACAGCAATGCTTTGTTTGCCTCAGCTGGGAACAGAGCTGGTTTTTTGCATCTTTTTTCATTCCTCTTCAGCTTTACTGGTGCTTCTACTAACCCAGTACAAAGAGCCTTGGATAGGTTTACAGAATTAACTGAAATGATAGATAAGATCCAAAATAATGAACACTAGTATTTAGAACAGTTTGGAGCTCAGGTTTTAATTTAAGCTGTACCTGGAAATCCAAGTCCCAGGGCATGACTGTGTTTTAACTTCTGTGTTTGCACAAACTGCTCAGTGCCAAACATTTGTTTTTTCCTAATGGAAGCATTATGCTGTCAATAGTCCCTACAGCTGGTATGACTTGTCTTTCTCCTATCATTGGAGGATTTCCAAACATGAGAGAGGCATAAACACAGCCTGAACTGAAAATCTGGTTCAAAATTGGGTTCCTTTCTTAAATCAGGCTGGAAAGAATGCTTGAAAACAGCGAGGAGGAGCTGACCAAATACTGCAAACAGTTCTCCATCAGAGCTAGTGATGCTCTACACCAACAGATTCCTGCTTTCCACTAATGTTCAGGTCTCTTCACTTGTTTGATAAGTATTTGTTTATGGTCTTTGATCCTGATTTTATTCATATGAATGGCAGTGTTTTATGTCCTTGAATCCACTTGCTAAGACAATGATTAATTTTTTTTGTCAAGATAAGCAAGCAGAAAAAGTTGGCATGAGGTGGTTTCTGGTGGTGCTCTCTGTCAGTTTTATATTTCAAAGAAAGCTAATAAATAACAAAATTATTTGTTTGGAAACACCAGAAAAGGCAAGGAAAAACAAATGTCAAGACAAGAAACAAATTCTACTGTGGCTCAGGCTATTTGCTCGACTCAGGAGAAGAAGGTGCTTTCCTGAATAAATCTACAATAGGGTCAGGAAGTGTTTTGTGTCTTCCCTTTGTCCATCTCTCTGATAAGCTGTTAAAGGCATGCTCAGTGTAAGAGAAAGATTGTGACTGGAAAAGAAACAGGTGAAAATAAACTTCTCCCTTTATTTTAAAGTGCGTGAATTGAGTATTAAAAAAAAAAAAAAAAGAAAAAAAAAAAACTTGGCCACGAGTAAGTTACATAACTTAAGCCAGTCTAAAATTATGTGCCAGCAATTTACATGAGTTTTATGTAACTGTTTATACTGCTGTTTATTTAAAAATTACTACTTATCTTGGCGACCGCAGCAACACATCGTGCATTTGCTAGCTCTGGAATACAGGGCACCTTCATTAAAACACATAGTCACCAATATATTAAACACACAAAAAAGCCCTGCTCTGACATAACATGAAGTGTCAGATGGAAAGCCGCAACAGCAAAGACATTCAGCGTTCACAACAAAGCAGCCCTTTGGGGTGTTCAGAACAGGACTGGAACATGCTCCATCCTTAATTCACCCAACAGCTTTCAGGTCCTTTACAGTACAGTTGGGGCAGTCTACAAGACCAGCTCCTGTTCCTGGGCTCTCATAAAGGACCCTCTTCATCCTCAGCTTTCTCTGCTTGAGCATGTTTATAATTCAGCATTTACATGCTGAGGTGAGGCAGCCTTTTGTTCTTCCTTAAAGTCCCAAGGACTCCAGCATGACACAAGTGGTTGGTAATTTCTGTTTGCTCTCTCCCAGCACTCACTCTTCACAAAGGAGGCAAAGATTTAGCTAAATCTTCATGATGGGTTGCTCATGCTCAAATTACATAATTTTTAGGCCCAGATCCACCACCAGGGTAAGACCATGGGTGAGTGGATTTGTACTGGTACCAGGAAGAGCTGCAGATATCCCACAAAACCAGGCAATGGGAACAACACTGGCCTAATACCTGGATTTTGCCCTTGTTTTGGGGCCTGTTGACTGAACCAGGTGCTCTACCCCTCCTTACTTCATTTTGACTTCTGTAAAATAGGAAAACTGGTATCCATGTCTTCCTAGGAGGCTTGTAGCCAAATGAAGCAGTATAGCAGAATATTATATATTATTTTCAGATGATCATTACAGTAGAGAGCTGAAAGCTGGCAATGTAGAGGAGGAGATATAAACTGAAGTGATAAATTATTTCTGTCTATTTGCATTTCTTTAAAGCAGTATCATGTCATCTTCTCACTTGAATCAGTAAAAACATGGGAGGAAAAAAGTTTGTTAAAATTATAAGCAAGCAAGAAAATTCCAAAACTTGTTATGAGTTTCTTTATGACAAATATACTTTGAAATGAGGGGGAAAAGAAGGCACTTTTCCAACACAGCTGTTGAAAAAATATTTATTTTTCAGTTATGGAAATTTTTATTGAAACGGGGAGACGGGTTTTTTTCCAAAAGTGAGTTTTTAAATAAATATATTTGATAATTAAGTTTTGAGTAACTTTGGATACACCATCTTGTTAGGTAAATATCCTTTAAAAGGAGGGTTCTGAAGCATGATAACCATAACCTGGTCCACAGGCCAATATCATACTCCCATGTTTCAATTCCATGGGGTTCAGCCACCGCTGGCTATTTATTTACTTTATTTGTGTAAGCTACCCAAATTTAAATATGCCTCTTGAAGTACCAGTTTATATCTGGGCAGCCTCCAGTCCATAGAACAGTTAAAAATTCGGGAAGATCAAAAGCCTCTTAGAGCTACTTCTCTCACCCTTAGCTTTTGCTTTGTGCTGCCTGAAGTGTGACCCAGCACTGCCCCTCTCTTGGAGCAGGACACTCAGACATGCCTGAGGATTCCAGTGATGGCAGGATTTGCTGCAGAATTCATCCTGAGTGACATGATTCATGCTTGTCATGAATCCCTGAAAAGAAAAAATGGTGTCTGAAGTGACTGCAAGCCTGTTGACAACGCATTCAGCAGTTTGAACACGGTTTCTCCTTCTGGTTTCTCCTTCTGAGAAACAGAAAACACGTCTTAAGTCTGCAGCATTTGTACAAAGTCTGCAGTGATTGAACACAAGTGGAGTTAGAAACCTTGAAAATCACAGTTTACAATGGAAAGTCTGACAGGCCATCAAGTTCAATGTTACCTTTAAGTACTCTCTATAATTAAACTGTCAACAAAACCCCACAATATGGTACTGCAACAGTCTCTACATTTTCCTACTAATGTGCAGAGATAGCTTCCACTAAAGGTGGCAGTAATTAGGTATTTAAAACCCGTGGAAAACTAGAAAAATACACAGCGAAAGAAATTCAAAGAGAATATAAAAAACTAATCTTTTCATTGGAGCAAACACAAAACTGTTGCAGAGCATGCTGTGCATTCACAAACTGCAATCATAGAAAGGGAGCGATTAGGGGAGAAGGGAAAAATGAGTTGTGCTATTGATACTTGGCTGTTTCAGAAAAATGTGCTGGCAGTTAAATGTTGTATACACTGAACAAGAAATTCTCTGAAGCCATTTTCTTTTAACATGAAAATACCAGCGTGACACTGCCAGAAGATGAAAATTCCACATGTTTAAATTAGAATACCTATATTCTCTGATCTATTCTAAATTATCAACTCCAATACTAATGAATATACAAATAAAGTATCTAAAAATTATTCTGTAAATAGGTTTTAGGAAATAAAGGAAAGCTTTATATTGAATTATTTAGTGTAAAACTAAGAAATTAATGATATTTCCCAGTTTCTACCATAGAATAATTCAAGAGATTAATTTCACTATGGTTTTGATAGGTTTTCCTGGAAATTTGAATCTGAAGGTACAAGTCATTAAATCCCAGAAGCATGACTCCAGGATTAACCAGGATGGCATCTTTCATTAAAAAGGATTAATTTAAGAAAAAAAGGCTGGTTTCCAGCCTTCAGACATCTGTTCCTCACTTGCACATATTCTTTTTATAATGATCCAGTAGTATTTCATGGTCTGCTCAATACTGTTTTATGTGCACAGTAATTTTTACAAGTACTGAGGAAGAGTATGGACAGTGGCACTGCTGATTCCATGACCCCTGAGCTCAGCAGGAACAGGAGTGACAGGAGCACTTTGGTGAAGGTACCCATCACAATTTGGGCTGAAGGAAAGGTGGGAGGGGTCTGTAAGCACTCAAATCCCTCCAAAAGTGGGTAGAGCTTATCAGGTCCTGGTGGAGCTCTGTAATTGCAGTGACCAGAGCAGCAGCAGGCTGAGCCAGAACCACTGAACCAACCATGAGGCTCCAGTGAGTATCTGGTCCAGGGAGAATATTTCTATCCAAATTAGCCAAGGGAAGGCTGAGGGCCTGAGGAGCCAAAAGGACTCTCTGCCCATGCCCACCTGTGCAGAGCCAATGCAAGTCAGTGTTTTTTGTGGTTGGGATGTATAAACTGCCACATGGCACTAACAGGTCCAATTCCTTCATCTTCTCTTTTCCACTACTTCTGTTTTTAAAAGGAAATTGTTCAAATGAGGACAGTGGTGACTCAAAGTAATTTGTATTGCAGTCTATTTTTAAGTATTCTTTCCTGAAAAGCTTTTGAACAATATTTTGGTTTTGTCTCCCATACACAGACATATAATTTAATTACTAGGTATTTGCTATACATTACTGTTAAACATGACTTTTAATATCCACATGGACTGGGAAACTGCCAGGAGAAAAGTTAACCTGTGAGTGATTCAAGCCCTTTGACTTCTTTGCTTGGACTGGTACCTGACTTGATTTTCTCCTGCTATTTGTTTTCAGTGGAATGGAGTTCTTCAGAAGACTTTTCTCCTTTGGCTGGTGAAATAATTATGGATAATCTTCACTCTTTGAGGTGCTCCATCACAGGTCTCAGGACGGTGAGTTCCAGAGGACTCATTTAGACCTTCATGGCCCAGTCCCCACAGTGATACAATGATACAAAGACAGGAGAATTTGCATCACCACCCCTTGGAAATCACTGCAGAGCCTTTCTTGTAGCAACATGTTCCAGTAATTGAGCACAATATGTCTGGCAGCCATAATCCAAAAGTTGCAAAGGAATAGAACCATTTTTTGAGTTATCATTCTCGGGAGAAATTGGGAAAGCCTGGAGCAAAAGCTGATGTTTTCTGGATCATGGGATAATCAGTGCAGATCAAAGGCTCTTGAGAAATCTAGACCTAACTCTGATGACCCATACCTCAAATAACAACTTTTTCTCTTCTCCTTCTTCCAGAAATGCTCATTTTTGTTTTGTCTTTCTATATCTCTTTTACACCAAACAGAACTGGGTCTCAAACCTTATCCTCAAATTTTTGTAGTTTGTTTCAATCTATCATGCTGCATTTAAATTACTAAAGCTATTTTAATTTCTCACTGAAACAAAAAATCTTTGTGAGCCACTGCTTTGCAGTTGTTACAGCCGAGGTTTTGAATCCAGTGGTAGTTTTGACTCCAGTTGTTTCCATTTGCAGGGCCAGAGATATTGTGTCCGTGTCTCAGCATACAACGTGAGAGGATGGGGACCTCCACGCAAATCCACTCCTGAATATGCTTCACCTTCAAGTAGGTTGGGTTTGTCTGCCCTCCCATTTTGCTTAGTGATACTGGAGTTCACAATGTAATTGTCATGTCGTCTACGAGTGAAGTAAATAATAAGACTCAACTCCTTCCAACCGCCAAAAAATGAGCAAAATAATTTATGTATATTTATGTCTTAGCTTTTACTCTTCTTCAGTCCTTTGACAGAAAATTGTTTCTAGTCATTAACACTTTTAAAAATCAGAAATATTTTAATCTTCGTTTCTGTTAGGAGGGTTCTGATATATGGAACTTCATTTATCCATACATGAATGGATCAAAACCTGATTCTGAGCTGCTAGAAGCAAAACACTTACATGTATCCCATGTAGTTTTATGTTTTACCTTGTAGCATTACAGATCCCATTCACTGGACCATTCTTACAGCATCCTGTACATAAAATTCTCCAGTGTGGACACACATGGTGGTAGGATGTAGCCTGTAAATGTTCCAGAAATGTCCAAAAGCCTTTCTTCCTTTTCCACTCTTCAACAGGTCTTCTCAGACTCCATTAGGGCTACAATTTGTCATCTGTAATTTTTAATCTATTATAATCACATTGTATTGTTAGTTGCTTTTCCAGACTTAATGTTCCTTGCCAAACTGGCTCAGTGTATTACAGCTCCCCTTGTATTGATTAATGCAGTAAAGTGGAACTTTTTTTTTATTGCATTAACACTAGTTTTTATTAGGCTAATGTAGCAATTTAATAACCTTGGATGTTAATGCGAAAAAATATAACAAGCCGTACCTACTCTCAGTAATCATAATACAGAGGGTTGGATAAATAAGGCTTTAGCATTACCATTGTCCCATTTTGCTTCAGTTTTGTTCTTGTGTTTTCTCCAGAACAATACCAGAACTAGGGCAAAGAAATATTCTGCTTGAGAACAAAAATGGGCTACAATCATGGGAGAAAATCTACTGTGGATAACTGAATAACTTGGTGATGTGCAATTACCTTGACTATAGCCAGGTGTAACTACACAGGACTTGGCCCCAGAAACCCAAAATTTACATCAGCTGGGGGACAGATTCTTTCACAGTAGCTGCCAGTAATTCAGCCAAATATTCCCAAAGAAGGAGCACTCCTGGAAACACAGGTGGTATTTAAAACTGCAACTCTGTATTATGTGAATGTTGCTTTCAGCATATTGCATTCTCTTCCCTTTTTATAGCCCCCTGCTATTAACCTTCTCAAATCTGACATTATGTGCCAGCTCCAAAGTTTTGGGGTGTGAAGGAAATCTTCCTGCAGATTTCAGTGGATCAGCACAAAAGCTACAGAGAGAATTCTGTTCATTCCCCTTGTACAGTATCTCAGGGTGTAAAGAGTTCTGGAATTGTTGGCTTTAGGGCCACATGCTTAAGCTTTACAGTAAGACCAGCAGAGCCTAAATGCAAACCTTTTCATTAAGTAATACTCACATTAGAGAGGTAAGATGTTATTTACCACTGCAGTTACTGGGGGCAGAGCTTCCCTCTTCACATGGCTGCCTTCGCCACTGGTTTTGAAAAGCAGCAGATTTGTGCTTGGCAAGGAGGCAGCAAACTGACATTACACAAGTGCTGCATAACAAAATACGGCTCTTACCTAAAATTTAAATGGGAATATATTAATGCTCTACAAAGTTGTCTGCAACAGCAGCCACAGGAATATGCAAGGGAGAGGAAAGCTGCAGGGCCTGACGTGGATCCAGTCCAACCCCAGAGCATCAAAGGCTGGTGACACTCTTGGAGATGTCTGTGTGTGATGACAGTGAGCACTTCCCCCTGTCCTCCTGTTTTCCCCACACACTGCAGCAGCCTGGAAGGTGGTGACCAATGCTGTGCAGCTTCTCTGTGAAATCCCAGCAGACAGAAACATTTCTAGGTTTATTCATTATCATTATGAGTGATGGACAATGAGGAGACCTGGTCTGGTTTCTGTGTAATTTTTAAGATAGTCAGAAATCTAGAGGTTCAAAAAGTTTGGAAACTACTGGGATAGAGAAATCACAAAGCTGTTTGAAACTCTACCAGTCTGATAACACCAAAGCACTTGGAGACTGGTGAGTTCCAGCTGGTCCCTCCTGGCTGCTCACAGGAGCTCTAGGGGCATTTTCCCCATAGAGAGCAGTAAATGCAGCTGGCCCTGATGTCTGCAGTAGCACAGAGCACACAGGACAGCCCCTCTGCGGCTGTCACACTGCTCACAGGCTATCAGGATACCAAATGTCTTCTCTTTCCAACCTTTCATGGGGCTTACTCTGGCTGCTACACTAAATGTAAATAAACAGGTATTTATATCCCTGGCATAGCGAGCCCATTGGAAGGAATGCTTGACTCCAAACTTGCACTAGAAACTGGATCTGTATATTTAGTGAGTGAGCAAACTGCTGGTGGCTATGAGTACGTACACAGCCTCTGTGCCAGCAAGATGGGAACATGTCTCCTGTGCAGACAGATCTCTTAATACCTTCATCCACCATTCCTTTGGGCCAAGAGACTGGTGCAATGCACTTTTCTCATTACAATCTAAGTATGAAAATAGGCAAGTCTGGAATTAAAGAGCTCCTTTCTGATACACACAGTTTCTTCCTATTTGTGATGAGTTTGTTGGTTTTTTTTTAAATGAAGACTGAAATTCTCATTAGCAGCAAGTGAGTGCCATCCAAGTCTGTTGGAGGCTGAGGGTGTGTGGGACAAGCACAGCAGGATTTTGCCTCAGGAGTGCAGTGCTTGAGCAGCCCGTGGGCTCCAGGGCAGGAACTGCCAGCATCTGTCCAGGCCTCTGCTGGGAGCAGATCTCCAGAAGTAATTTTACTCCAAGAATGTTTCTCTGGCTACAGAGCAAGCTCTGAGTGTAGGAAGATGTTCATTCTCTGCTTTGCAGAACTGTGGGTGAGTTGTGGAGCCTCCTGGTGTTGGAAGCAGTGGCAGAAGGAGCACTGTGTGACCTTGGTGAGGGGCTGTGTCAGCCCTGCCTGCAGCACCAGAGCTCATTCATGGAGAGAAATAGCCATGGCCAAGTCAGACACTACAGGAGCTTCTCAGAGCTCAAGCTGGTTGTGAGCTCTTTGTTAATAATCATTATGATTAATTACCCAGCTGGCACAAGGCAAAGAAAACGCAGTGTACAAGAAACAACTGACTTAAAAACTACTCCTGCCTGCTGAGATGTAAAACTCCTCTAGAGCCGAGAAGTACCAGAGGCAAGAAAATATTTTTAGACCCTCTCCTGCACCTTTGTGTTTCATTTCTGTTTATTTCCTTTGTTCAATAGACTGGAAAGACTGCAGTGGAAGAGAGCCTCGGCACAGGGGACACACGGAGGCCCTGGAACGCCTCCTTCAGCAGGTTCGAGCAGCTCATCAGCACTATAATTGCAGAGGTAAGGATAAATATCTATGTGGTAGGGCACCAGCTGAAGCCTCTGTGGCGCCTGTAATTTTAGCAGTTTTCTAACTAGGTCATACCTTCTCATTCATCAGGAAAAGAAAGATATTAATATTGGCCCATCTGGAATCACTTTAGCACACTATCTTGCTCTTAACCCTTGAAATTAGTTGGATGAAAACATCTGAAGGCTGCAATGTGCACAGACACAGGCACAGTCTTTCTCCCTCTGTACCCTACACACCTATGGATTTGTTTTTCCCCCCAAATTAGTTTCACACAGGATTCCACTAAAATGTTTCAAGGACAGCTTTTTTATATTTTCATATAAAGAAATACTTTAGACAGTTAACAACTGGTTTGGATCAAAAGGGAGGAATTGGCTGGCTCCAAATGGAAGACACTGAGTGGATGTCATGCCAATCCATAATGAAAAATACTTGCACAATGCAATGGGAAGATAAGATTGCTACATTTCAAAACAACATGGATCAAAACTAGGAGAGAGTTCATATCTCAGCCAATCTTCATTCATGAGAAACAGACTGTGCCTTTAATAGCTCAAGAGCCAAGGCAACAGCTTGGCATTCTTTTTAGAGCCTATATAAAAACTCCTGTTCTATATGGGTTGTTGAAAAGTACTATTTATTTTCTTAAAATAAACTTCTAACTGGAATAATGCCTCATTGCAGAGGGACTTACTTTAAACAGAAAAGTTAAACTATCATGAAGTTTTAATTTTTCTTCACCTAGTATGACTGCTATGCCAAGTTGCATCAATTGATTTAAAATCATAGAAATGCTTTGAGCTAAAATCATCTGGATGAAATGAAAAGATGCAGCCTTTGTTCTTTACATGCAAATTTGTTACCATCACACTGATCCACGGTCTGACACAACCCATTGTAACCATAGCAACTTAAACTATTCATCTATGATGCTTGGAAAGGGAAAGGAGATATTGCAAGAAAATATTGTTTCTCTAATTAAAATTCATGCAAACATTATCACTTGCAGGTGGTCTTGGTACTGAAAATACAGATGATATATTCTATCTCCTGCATGGCTTTTCGTGCTATTAAAGAAGGATTTTTTCATGGTAAAGTTTTTCCTTTCTGGAGTTAGTGCCTATCTCAGCTCTTTCAGGCCACCTTTCCAGTCAGCGGGGAGTAAGTGATGGAACATCTGAAAATATTCTTAGTATAAATTGTTTTACTGACATAGCAGCCCAGAACAGAAGCAGTTATAAACATCATGCAGAAAATCCCTCCTTTTGACATACTGACACCAGTGCCTGGTTCTTATAAAACACCTCTGCTCCTGAAATTAACCCCAGTCTCAAAACTGAGCACAGACAGCTCCTTGTTGATTTCCTAACCCCTTTTCCTTGAATAATAAATAACAATACAGAAAGTATGTTTAGCTCAGAACATTTTCTTCTGTGCCTGAAAGATTGTGGGACCTCACATGGGGCAGTACCACACTGTCGAGTCAGCTTGAGCAACACCCTTGCCTCCAACCAAATAAAAATCTCATAATTGCTTGTAATGCTAGCATTCCACAGTAGTATATTTTGGATAAATCACATGGCATCATCATAGGAGAGCCTTTGGAGCTTGCCTTAAATATATCATGATGTCAATCCCTTTTATTTCACTAATTTGGTAAGGAATCAAAACAAAGTTTGCAGGAAAAGTAAGAATTATGACATCACTTTGACTCAGAAATCTTATTCTGATGTTTATCCACCTCAGTGGAATCTGAGGAGTTTGATCAAGGATCTGGGATAAGCTGCTGTATACAAAAACCCCAAATAACAGCTTTCACTTCATGTAATACAGAGGGTTGATCTCTATTCTTAATTAATGCAAATTAGCATGATTGACTGACAGGGTGGAAGTCAGCATGGCCCTGCTGTTTACACACAGGCTGAGGACCTGTCCAAGCATTTTTCTGTTCTTTGCCATGATTCCCTTTCCCACATTCTGGTTGATGCCAATCTCGTGATCTCTGTTTGCCCCGTTTGTTGTAGAGCTGCCAGTAAAGAGCTGAGCCTTGTTTGAGGAAGGTCCCTGGATCTGCCTACAAGCACTGATGAGCTGTGAGAGCAGATCAGGCTCTGCAGGAATTAGATCTCAGTGGGAACAGAGCTGGGATCAAACCTGGGGTCCAGGCACCTTGGCTGCTCCCACAGTGGTTCCCATGTGGAATGTCCTGCCCGTGCAGCTCAGGCTGGCTCAGAGCGCAGGACGAGTGGCAGGAAGGTGGAAAAAACTGAGAGTAATCAATCTCAATGGTCTGAGATTATCTGAACAACGCAGGCAAAAGCTTCAGAAGCCAGATGAGCTGGAGGACCAGGCCAAGTGCTGCTGCTCCTGCGGGATCTGGGAGGGGACATTGCCCACATTCCAGGCAGATCCTTTGCCCAAGTCTGTTCATTCAGGCTCTGCCTTTTGCCCTGTGCATTGCATTGCAGGGGCTGGAGAAAACAAGCTTACAAAAATACCAGGAAGAATACACTGGAATGTACAGTGAGTTTAAGAGCTTTTGAAATTAGATCAGCTGTTGCTTTTGAACCTGCTCTGTGATATGATGAAATCTCCTAGGGAATTACTTAGGAAGCTTTGCTTTCATATGTTTAATCTTCTGGAAAACCCTGATGATTACAAATAACAGTCATCCATTTGTCTTCATAATACCATGCTACAGACTATGATAACTGAGTTACTACAATTGTATTTCCTGGCAACACTTCAAATATATTTTTTAAGTATTTTTTTTTTACTTGTAGATCTTTCTTTCTAAACAATTCAGAGTGGATTAAGTAATTGTGTGACACTTCATTAAGAAAGGAACCCAACTCTTCAGTAGAATTCTTACCAGATATTTTCATTCTGAAATTCAGTTGAAATGTATTTTACTTGACAAGTCAGAGGTGAAATAAAAATGTTCAAATTTTAATTTGATTCACAAGCAGAGCACATAGTTTTAATTGCATTTAGCAAAGAGGGGGATATCTGATTCCACAGGGTATTTAAAATGTTTAGATTATAATTCTTTGTGAGAATATACAAAATGAGACTTGAGAAACAAGCTATAGACAGGTTGGGAATTTACGAAGAGAGCCCAGATGCTCACAAGCTTGAGGGGGCAATGTGGTTCTTGCTCTTCCAGGAGGTTGCTTTTAAGTGTGGGCTGTATTTACATTAAAAAAAAAAAAAAAAAGCAAAGAAATCTTTACACACACTCTACCTTCAAAGAGAAAGGCTGGCAATGCCATAAATACACCTTTTTATTTAATTGCCTATTTCAGTCCATGCTTGAAAGCTTCTGATCTAAATCTAATCACTGAAAATTCTCCCATCTTCGCTGCTCTGTGCTCACTCCCAGGCTTCTATTAAAAGAGCTCACAGCTCAGATGCTGCATCATTTGTTAATATAAACTTACTGTGTTGCTTACTGGTGCTTTTCCATGAATGTTACTCTATGTTATTTATTACTTAATTAACTAACAGACAAAGTTCCATTTCCTGCAGATCCAAATTATCCTCTAATTTCAGCTCCATGTTTTCTGGCTTCTAGACACACAATATTATAAAACAAAAGCAAATAGCAATACAGGAGAGTTTACAGTCTCCATCTAGTTTTACATTAATTCTTTTGCTGTTGGCTTCTGCAAAGCTGTGGACTAAACCCAAACCACTGAATAGACCAATAACATATATTTCACTTGTAATCTGCCCTCTTATTTTAATGATGCAATCCCTGGGTGTTTTATACAAAATTATGTTGCTTTGCCTTCAGCAATTTCCTCCTCTGTTCCCTCTGTATAGATGGAGGGAATACATAAGAAAATAATTAGAATGAAATTTATATTGCTACATTGATCTTAACCTTGGAAGAAGGAAACAGTAAGACAGGAGTTTTCATGTAGCATTTCATTTACATTACTGCAACACACTGAGAAAGGTTCACAATAAAATAACCATTTTCTGAGGAGACACGGATAGAAATACAAATGAATATTTTTAGAAGGAGAGGAAAACAATGGAGTAGTCATGGATTTGGATGAGTCTGTTTAAGCTGAAGAGTGCATTGGAGAATATGCCATGGAGAACAAGTTTGCACTGGAAAGACAATGGATTTGATGATCTAATAAGTCTCATACATCTGAACTGTATGATTTCACCCCCAACAGAACCTTGTTCTCTTTGTGCTCGCTGTTCCACAGAGCAGTAATTATTGCTAATAATGTGTCTGCTTGCTGGGGCTTTCAATGTGCCAATTGTGGTGCAAATTTATTCAGCATTTAAAATATGCCGAGCACTTCCACAGATGGGGTTTTGAAAATAGCAAATTTAGATGTTCTTCAAATATTCCAAATTAGAACTCACCAGGGAGACACAGACAGGCACCTCCTATTCTGCACCAGAGGTAAGTGGGAAATACTCTGAGAACACCTAAGCAGGCGATCAGCAGCTTTCAGCAAGTGGCTCTTCATGAGTCATGTCTTTTTCCTACTGGAGAAGGGTGTCCCTCAAAATGTTTCACACTCCAGTCTAGATGGGGATGCTTCATCCAAATAAACAGAACCTGGAAAAGTGAGATGTGCTTTCACAGTTTTTCATTTTGTCTATCTTTTCATATCACATCAAATATCTGAAGAATTAACTCTGTTTTTCAAAGTATTTCTGCAGTTTCTCTTACAACAGCATTAAACAGCACAGACATTGCAAAAAACAAAACCAAACCCAGTGTGGCTTACAAGGCCCTGCATGAGAGAAGGGAAGACATTAAGTCAAATTCATGAAAGTGAAAAAGAAGGCAATGTATAAAAATTTAACAACATTTTCTTAGATCACTGGGACAATTTTATAAAATTCTTCTATTGGAGGGCTGGCCTAGAGATGCTGGCAGGCACACAGCAGGTCTCAGCTTTGACAAGAAGTGAACAAAAGGGTTTTACACCTCTTCCTTGGACTCCAGATTACTGGAGGTAACTGTGGAAGCTCTGAGGCATTACTTGAGTGGAAGCAGTTGTGATGGAGAAAAAAAATTCCAAGCAACATCAGATGCATTTAATGTGATGTACGGAAAGATGAGAGTTAATCTTGTCTCCTTAAAGCTTTTCCTTATGTTATGTTGGTGATGCTGGGATGTCAGTGTCTGTCAGGGCACCAATTATTCACTTTCTAGAAGCTTAAGCTCCATGTGGTAAGAAATTTAGAAATTACAACACCCTAAAATGTTGACTGATGATTGAAATCCCTTCTTGGGTTTTTGAGACCACTTGCAAAATTCCCATCCTTTCTGAGCATTAAGAGTGTGTAGGGCTGGTTCAAGCTTGCCTCAGAGCAAAACAGCTTTATCTTGTCTGAGTTTGCAGCAAGTAAGGAAATGATCTGCTGCTGTGTATCCCTAAGTTAATGAAAACACCATCTAAGGGTTGCATTTGAGCATCTTTCTGAATGTTGTCTTTTGAAAGGAATGGGCACTGACTGAAATTTAGTACTGTGGTTCAAAAAACGAAGGTTTTTATGAGACACTAATTGAAATTTAAGAGCTGGGTTGGGTTTGCTTCTTTTTCCCATTTCAGAAAGTTCTAAATTACAAAATGCTGGTCGCAAGCAATCGGTTTCCAGAAGCCTGAAGCACCTTTTCCATTCATCAAACAAGTTCGTGAAGACTCTGAAACGGTTTGTTATTACTTCTATGTTTGAGACATTCTGAATTTTAGCAGTTATTGTTCTGTATTAGAAAAAAACACTTTACAAATGTGTGAATATGCCACTACTGATGAGACAGCAACTGGTCAGAATGAACTGATAAAATCACAGATGCGTAAAACAAGTGCAGCTGACAGGAAAAGAATTCTCCAGCTCCTACTGAAATCAATACAATTTTTAACTTGTTACTTTTGGAAGTGGATTCAAATTGTTACAGAGTGAAATATTATGTGCAAACCCAAAGTGCAGCTAATTGAAAGCACTGCCTCTGTTTCTGCTCATTAATGAAGCTGTGACATTCATTCATTCATAATATAAAGCACAGAGCTCAGATAACATTGGAATAGTCCACTGGCAACAAGGTACACATGTAAAACTCTGACATCCTCAGCTGGGTTTGCAGCCCACTGTGACCCAACTCGCAACCCTGACAGTTTGTTTTAGCAAGTGGAAATTGCTTATTCTGGATTATTTCTTCTTTCATTGCCAGGAGTGTTCAATTTGCATTTTCTTCTTTGTATTTTGATAAGAGTTTGATTCTTTCAGAAGAGCTCTCCAGAGTCTTTAAGTTCCCTGCAGTAACTACTTAACATATGTAACTAATTGTGAGGGTAAATATTGAAAGGAATGATCTCTATAAACAGGTTTGCATATATGTTGGCCAAATTACACTCAATTATACCAATGTAAATCCATAATAACCCACCTGATTTCAACTGAGTTACTTCAGATTTACTCTGAAGTAAAGGAGGGCAGAATTTAAGCACATTAATGACCAGTTTTAGTAAATGTCTGGTTTTTAAAGGGCATAAGGCCTCCACTGTGCACTGTGTGCTCTGGCAAAATTCTCACTGAAATTGATGTCTGTGGCTCACACAGATCCATAATCTCTTAGATTCATGTTTTAGATTCATTCCCATCATCTAAAGAGATAAACTTCCCAAATATTTTTCAGAATATTCACTGACTGAAGTTGCATGACTTTATATTACACAGAAGTTTAGACCAGATGATTCACTTTGTCTCCTTAGAACTTAACATCTGTGATTCTTTGACTAAATTTGGCATGGAAGTGAATAGACATGAAAGCTGTTTGATAGTGTTTCCTTCTCTCTTTAGGGGACTCTACCTATCTGTTATACTTTTTTACAAAGACAATTTGTTAGTAACCAATGAAGATCAAATCCCAATTGTGGAAATCGATGACTCTCACAGTAGTTCAGTTATGCAGGATTTCCTGTGGTTCACAAAGGTAATGGGAGTCTAATTTCATCTATTGCTTCTGCAAATTTGTTGCTAGCAATGCATAGGCCTTAGCTCATCACTGTGAATGTATGAAATGACATTAAAAAGCTGAACGATGAAATGCTTTATCACTCATGTTAAAGGCAATTTTCACAAAGCAGTCATGTGGGTTAAATCCTGACTGGGCCACTGGCAGTGATACAATTAACTCTTAAGGTATGATCCTGGGTGAGTGATTGCCATGTGGATACATAAAGGTTTTATGGACATTTAGAGCAAGAGCCTAAAGAAATAACCAGGAGTTTTAAGTTCGGTATTGTGGTTGTGCCATCACACAAGTTGCCTCACACTACTTTTTTTATATCACAAAGAAAAGTAAATCAGTTTTGCACAATAGTCCACAATCAATTGAAACAGGTTCATGATGTTTACAGAACACCTTCTGTGTCTGAGTCAGTGTCTGTGTCATGTTTATCCAGTCAGCAGATTGCCTTCTGCAGAAACACAAAATGTGCAATACCTACTGATTTTTCCAAGTCCAAAATGCATTTTAGTATCACTTGTGCAAATGCTGAGAACAAGAACTGGTTGAAGTGGATGTGTTTTTGCAGCTGTCCTGCATGTGGGATGACATCAGGTGGCTGAGGCAGAACATGGCTGTGTCTGTGTCCTCATCCACAGCCCTCCAGGCCAGGCAGAAGATGCTTTCAGCAGCAGCACAGCTACAGGTGGGTCCCACGGCATATTTCTGTTAGCTCAGTGACTTTCTGATCTCCAAGGGACAGAGCTGCCAGCTGTCCCTGGGGCTGTTCCTTGGAGCAGTCCAGTGAAATGAGGCACTCTCCTGCCAAGAAGGAAGGAATTACATTAAAAGGAAAGAGTAGGAATAACAAAGGAAAGAAACAATAGGAAGAAACAACAAAAGAAACAGATGAAGAAACAAACAGATATGAACCAGTAAATAATAACCAGGTAGAGAAGCCTGTGAGTTTGCAGACTGGGAGTTAAAAGTTATAATCCTAGTATTTGCTGCTCAAAAGCCTCTTATAGGTCTATTCATTATTAATTATTAATCTATCAATGAAGCATTTAAAGTCTGTTCTAATCCAATCTCTGCTAAAGATGCAACCTGAGTGGTACTGAACAGGTTACTTAAATCCTTCTGTGTCTCAGTTCACTACTTTTTATGCAAAGAGAAATTACACTTTCCCCAGCAGAACATTTCTACCTTTATTATAAAGCTTTGAAGTTAAGTTGGGTTTCACAACAACATGAAATCTCTAGATAGCAGGCAGACACTTTCATTTAAATAGTTACTTTTTGGAGAAAATACATTTTCACAAAGCTGTGTGCACGATTGTTACAGAAAAAGCATATCCAGGCCTCACTTTCTTCTACCTTTTGTTGAAGTTAGCAAAGCTGCTCAGAAAATGTGTGGTACCTTCCTGGCATTAGTGCAGATCCTCATTGCTGGGCACTGTGCTGGCCACACGTCACCCCACAGGCTGTGTCAGCACAAAAACCTGTTTGCAGCGGCTGGGAGAGCCACACACTGTGACACATTGTTAAAATAAAAATGTGGGCTTTGTGTTACACCTTTTGGTGAGCATGCTGTGGAGAGCAGCCTTCATGGGCAACCACCTGTCTGATTTCCCCAAAGTGCCCCAAAATATATCAATGCCAGCCTGCTGCATTTATTGGAGGACCACCTGTGTTAAGCAGCAGCTGCATTTCAGTGTTTTGAGCTGTGACCAGAGAAAGTTTTAACTGTATCTGCTGAATATTCCCCCCGTGGGGCTGGCTCAGCTCAGGTAGCACACATTTGGTTAGCTCAGGCCCATCCCCCTGTGCAGATCCCCTTTAACAGAGAACTGCACTGGGGCATGCCCAACATTCCCAGTGCATCATGGTTTTATTTGCTACCAGAGATGCAAAGTGCAGAGCTTGAAACACCAAGACACAGCAAATGTGCCCATGTGGTGTATTGCCCTGCTGAGGTTTTGCCAAATTATTGCCCTAAATGTCTGTTCTGTTTGCTTGGTCCCTGAGGAACACAGGGATTGTCACCCAGCTGCCACCCTTTAACAGTGTGTGGCCCAGTGGGATCCACCAGTGGAAGGATCTCAATAAAGTTTATATGGTTGAATACTTTTTATTGAGGTGGTTAATAGACTGACTCCACAGAATTTAGGACAAAATGAAAAAGATCAGTGATGACACAGCTGCTCAGGGACTAGATCAGTAGATTCAGAGACAACAGGGACTGCAACTTTGCCTGTTGTTACCACCAGACAACTAAAACAAATCACAAGTGATGGGGCAAAAAGCTAAGCTAAACTTTTTTAGGGTATGAATCAGTCCCATACTGACATTAGTAGGTCCCCCATTCCCTGGGCTGGAATGTCATTCACAACATAGTGACAGTAAAGAACTGCTTGTTTTCATCTGGGCACATTCACGTGCTGCAGTGATTAAAATGATAATCAGATTGCCAAGGACTACTGCCAGGATCTGCCCCAGCTGGAGACACAGGGATTAGCACAAAATGTATGCTCAAGACACCCAGAGTCAGTCAGAGAAGGAGACAAACCCCAAAAGGCAAAACAGTTTAAAAAGGCAGAGGAGAGCTGCACAAAACTAAAACAGACAACTGATATCACCCAAACCCAGGCACTGTGCTGACTATTGAGAGTTTCTAGACAATTTAAAAATATTAAAGTTGATAAGTAAATATTGCTAAGTGCAGATAATTAATTTCAGTATAATCTATCAGTTTACAATGTCATTAAGTTAATGTACAGCACCAAAGACACAATGTGCTTCATTGTGAATTCAAGTTTTCATTTCACACTACCCTTCTCCCTATCCAGCTTACTGTAGATCTCTTGAAAAATCACAAAGTAATGAGCATATTTTAAATGTTAAGCATTTTTTCTTTAAGACATCTGGGAATCTCTTCAGTGGCTGGTCACTGGATTGAGTGTTTGCACCTATAAGCAGATGCCTTACTGTGTTAGGAAAGGGATTTTAACCAAAATATGTATTTTATGTGGAGTCTTTTAAAATTACTTTTCTTTAATCCTCACATATTTTCCTGGAGAGCTTTGCCTTGGTAGTTTTGTTAGTTTCTGCCTGTTTTGTCTAGCACATTCTTGGTATCTGAAGTAAAAGGGTTCATGTCTCTTCAAATCCTGTGCTTCACAAACACACTCCACAGTGTAGTTCCAGAATTATTTGCACTCAGCACACACATGAGGGTCTCTTGCTTTTGTTGCTGAAAATAATCTGAATAATTTTAGAACAGAGAACAGAGAATGGAGATTATAGTTAATGAACATAGCAAAAAAATATTTAAAGTGTCTGTTTTGGGGAAAGAGGAAGAATTTTATATGTTCTCTGACATTTGCTTCTGGGAAGGTTCAGATAAGCACCCAGCTTGTTCAAATCAAGGGGATCACCAGCAGAACAACAACGAGTGCTTTCAAAAATTGCTTCCCTCATCTTTACGTGCCTGGGCAGAACGAGGAAATTTGCCCCAAATAAGTGAATTTCTTTGCAGTAAAAAGGTGAATTGATTTGCCTTTTACAAAGGCATTGGGTTGTAATAGTCTTTCTGAGGTTCTCCATGAAACATTGGAGTAAACACTACTGGACCAAATGTATCAGAGGATCCACAACTCAATCCACAAACACAACCTAAGGAAAACCATTTCCCTTTGTCACTAAATGATGTGACTGTAAGGCAAGGGTGTGAGAAACACAGTGTGTCTCATTCTTAGTGAAGTCAATAGGACTGATGTCAATGTGCACAGTGAGCAAAGTTACACTTCAAACAATACTCTCCTGATATGTGATGAATAACTTTCATTTTATATTTGTTTTCTAGAATTTGCTGGGAACTCACAATTTAGGCAGAGTTTTTTACGAGCCAATTAAGGATCGACATGGCAATATGCTGATAGTTACTGTAAGAGAAGTGGAGAGTCTGTACTCATTTTTTAATGGCAAATGGATGCAGGTATCCAAACTACAAAGCCAGAGGAAATCCCTTTCAACTCCAGAGGAGCCAACAGCATTAGACATCTTGCTTATAACAATCCAGGTAGTGCTTTGCTTCTCTTAATGTGTGTTATTTGCTTTTGTAAAGCCTGTGCCAGAGCCCTGATTTTTGGAAGCATCTTGTAGAATTTTAGGCCTTAGTCCAGTGCCCAATAAAATTAATGGCAAGGCTCCCATTGAGAGCAAAGACTTATATTACTTCCAGTGGGTCTGGGATCAGATCCTTAATATGCAAAATATCCATGAGATTCTAAAGAAATTACTTCAAAGTCCTAGCAGAGAACAGTAGTTTCTATCGATTTCGGGAAACCAAGCTATGGAATTTTGTAGCAAGGGATATAAAATCCTTTAAAATTCTCTGGGATGTTCTTAAGCACTTATACAGACACTTAGAATTTCTACATTCCATAAGAATTTTCCATCCAACCTTGAAAACTAAATCTAGGTTTTAAACTTTACTGTTCTACTTAATAAACTTGTTCTGTGGGGTTCAGGGTTCCATGGAGCCTGGTATAGCTGCTAAAGAATCCTTTACTGACCATAACCCTCCTTTAATTTCTGTATCTCATGCTCCTTGCAATTAGAAAAATGCCAAGGTAAGGACTGATCTCAGAAGGTTCCTGGCACACTCAGCTCAGTTACCATCTCTGAGAGCTGTGGGGGTTCAGTCCTTCAAGAATTATCTCTGAACTCACATAAAACAGAAACACTTCATGTTAAGATTAATACATCTTTTCTTTAGGTAACAGCAGCCAATCTCCCTAAAACTGTTGCACAGTTACCCAAAATCCAAGACAAATCATTGTCTTAGTCCCTTCTTTAGCACTGTCCATGACATGATGGCTGCTGTGGTTAATTTTTGAATTAGAGGCACTTTCTTGGGCACAGAGTCTGCTTTTCATACCAGGAAGTGACAAGCAATCAAAATATATGTTACCAGGTTTTAGGAACATTAAAAAATTTCCAAAAGACAATAAAACTTACCTGATCCATGCTAGATTTAATGTATTACAATGTGTTAAAGGTGCAGAAAATTGTCAATCTGGGCAAAAGTTTTATATTAGGAAAAGCAAAATACAGGCCTGATCAGATTTCCACAGAGATCCTAGTGGAAAAAATGTTCCCCTAATGGTTTACACATTCCTATCTAATGCCCACCCTTTCTTCTATTACTTGTTTAATCATTGAGTGGGTATTTTGTTCATGAAGTGCTTGTGAAAATGAGGGTCTAATTGCACTGGTCAGAGCCAAGCATAGCACTGGCAGATAATTTGATGGCTCCAAGAGTCAAGGCACAGGGCCAGGTGTCTTAATCCTCACCCACTGCAGAAGCACACATTTCTCAGGATGGATGGCAGCAGACATCATTTTTCAGGTAGTTTTGGAGAACTGCTATACATAGCCCTAAAAATGTCTCCTGGCCTCAGCAAATTCACTATCAATAGTAATTTCTTCTAAGCTCTATTTGTTGATAAAGATATTTGTTCAGAAAACGCTGCCACTAATTCAGTTTTGCAAACTGCCAACCCCCATGCTGACAGAGATCTTCCTGTTGACAGCAGGTGATACAGAGCAGGATTTGGAGAGATGTGGGCTGGGATTTCCCTGGGGACAGTCCTGGCTGCTGCAGCCCCTCTCTCCCAACTCTTCCCCAGTGCTGCTCTGCTCCTTCTGTGTATCCAAGGACCAAACCCGAACCAGGGAACTGCTCAGCTGAAAAACAACTGCTCCTTTTCCCAAGTTGTTTTTCAGAGGAATCAGTTCCCTGACCCGGCTCACCACTGAAATGATCAGAAGGGAGGCAGAGGTGGGGGTTATTCAAGCCAGTTTAAACACCACAGTTGCAGAAGATTGAAACCTCAGGTTGTCAGAGCCAATTCCTGCATGACATGGAGACCTTAGAGATCCTGTGTATGGCTTTAAGTGAGAAGTTGTCCAAGTGCACCCAAGCTACCAGAGATTATTCATATGCTTACACATGTGCTTAAATACTTTTTGAATTGGGAACAACGGCTGTAAAAACATTTGTTGCTTTTTGCTCCCAAACTCATCTGCTTATGCGGAAAAAAAGATGAGATTTTTATGTAGGACTGTTTCCCTTAAAACAGGACATACTTTCCTATCACAAACGAAGTCAGCAGCGCCTCCCTCCCGGCTTGTACCTGGGTTACCTGAAACTCTGCAGTTCTGTGGATCAGATCAAAGTGCTTGTGTTGCAGAAGCTGCCCAATGTCCTGTGTCACGTCAAAATCCGAGACAACAGCAACGTCTCCAAGTAAGCAAATATACACATATACCTGCACACACACACAGAGAACAGTTGTTTTTATTTTATAACAATTAATGCCAAGGCACTTCTGCCACTGCAAAATTGTAGGTGGCAGCATGGTTTGGCTCTGGTGTGTGGCAGAAGGGTTTGGCTCCAGTGTGTGCCATCCCAGAGAGCCGTCCTGAACTAAATAGGTGCACCTGAGTTTTCCCAGCAGGCCGAAGAGCTTTCAGAACACACAGAGAGGGGCCCATTGGTTTCTAAGGATGGTATTCCATGGGTATTCCAGTTCTGCACAGGGATAATGACCTGTTCAGATCATAGCCTGCAGCCCTGACTCAGCCTTCAGTGGATTCAGTGCCATCCTTTCCATGGATTTGCACTGACTATGGGGTGGTGGTGTGGGTAATTTTTCTGTTTATTCTCTTGTGTGATACCTGTTTTTATCACCCTAAACTACAGCAAACACACAGCAATTGAAAACCATATTTATAAATGCAACCAGCCAGCAAACTGCTGTGCTCTGGGAAAGCCATTTTCCCCTTGTCCAGTGCTTCCCTTATCCATTGGCATATCCATACATTGTTTGTACTGCCTGGTCCTTGCCTAGCGGGCAACACATTTTACTGACCTTTTTAATCCCATATCATTTCAGCAACCAGCTGAGAATTTTGCATGAGGAAAAAGGAACAGGGTATTTACATAAACAAGGATATCCAGAATGTAGTAGTGAATACTAACAACAATGTTGGAAGGAATACAAAGGCTAAGGCCTCAGAATTTATAACAATCCCCAACTCTTGAAGTTTAAGATCAGATCTTTATTTAGGAACAGATTATACCACAACTATTACTTGTCTTGTAGTGGGGTTTCCTGTACATTATTTTTTTTAATGTTTGATGCTGGCTGCTATTCAAGACCAAATACTGGGCAGGGTGACTTAGGGATTGGATCCAGAACTGTGATTCCCATATTTATCAGGTTTCAAATAGAGACATGTGGAGAAAAGCAGGAAGTTCTTTGGCTGCAGTAAGAAGATAGTCCTTCACAGAGATCAAACTTCCTGCTAATTGTAGCAATTTCCAATGCATGTTTTTTAAAATATTGTGGTAGATAGGGAATGAAGAATATGAAAGAGAAAGGCTGAAGTGAGAAGCCTTACTGAAATATTTCAAAGGCAGTTGGACTTCCAGAGGAATGTTCAGCTTGATGTACATGTGCTAGAAAAATAAAACTTTTCAAAGGTCAATCAAGATTGCACAAGTTTAGAATGTTTTGGTATATGAGGATTAAATGATCAACAGATCCCAAATGCACATACACCGAATTCCTGCTTGTGCCTTGAACTGTTGTTATATTTCTAATTTTAACTTGACTCAACATACAGAGATGAGTGGGAATGGATCCAAACACTTTCTGGCTCAGAATCCATGGAAAGTATGGATCATACTTCAGACTGCCCTACTCAATTGTTCTTGTATGAGCTCCAGACGGCAGTGAAAGCTCTCCTCAAACAGATCAATCTACCTCTGCATCAGGTATTTGCCTTTGTGGGATTTATCACCTTTTTAAAACCCCATTCTTAAGAATGCAACAAAAATCTACAAACTGTGTCACTGAAAAGCAGGGATTTAATGTCAGGGCTTCAAGAAAAGCAAAGCAGAGAAGTTTTGTATTCCATTATTCTAAGGGGGAACATGTTCTGTAGAACAGTTCTTGACCTGGACATGTGAACATTCAAGGATTAAGAGGCAAATTTCAACTACCTGCTTTCTTCACCTTTTAGCTTATTTGTGCAACTTCAGGCAGGTGCAAATGAGCAATTTTGCATAAAAGTAATAGTTTTGAGCACCTTTACAAAGCTGACAAAGAAAAAGAGGCATTTTTGCAGGCAAGCACAGCAAGTGACTGTTTTCTGGGAGGCTTTGAGTGGGGTTGTAGGAAAGGCCTGGTTAAGACACAGCATTTTGCTGTTCTTTTGCACACAGATGAATGTACCCCTTCTAAAACACAAAGTCCCAGACCTCCAGATTGCTGTGGGTGAGGAGAGGTGTCTGGCTTCTGGGTTTACCTTTAGATACAAGAAATACATATGTGAATAAATAAAGTCAGGGAGAATAATCTACGATGTGAAAGATCCATGAAAAAATAAGCTAAGAAGTTTGTTTCTTGTTTACATGAATTCCATTTTGTTTTGGTCTGCAGGGGTAAAGAGGTCTTAAAGTAGAAGTAAATCATCTTTATATTCACTTCAAGGTCTGTTTGTGCAGCTAGAAAGATGTGGTCTTAAAATAAATTAATCTGGTTCTACATTTCTTGATTTTGAAAAGTTTAGGCTTTGCTTTTAAAAAGGAATCCATCAGTGCTTCACCTTCTAGCCCGGGAAGAGCCAAGTAAGACTCAAGTAAATCCAAAATTAAGACAGATGGTGTGCTGCCTTGTGGTCAGTCACTAATTCAATAGGGCTCTGTACAGGTCTCTATGTTACTGCATTGCCTTGGAGGTTATATCTTTTGTGCAACTTTTTTTTTTTTTTTTTTTTTTTTTTT